CATAGAGACAAAATATGAAGCGCGTAAGCGCGGCGTCGCTGTCTAACGGGTAAACATTGATACGGAACCCATAGAAAAATAAACAAAATTTATACTTATTGTTAAAATCTCTATAAAATATCTGACAATTTGATGTGCATATGTCTAATGATCATTTTTGACCGCCAAATGGCATTTTTTTTACTTTTTTCGTTAGATCTCCGAAACCGCTAGACCTGCCTTTATGAAAATTTGATCAATTCTTTATCTTGTCAATACAAGTAAAATGTTTTTTGAATTATTGAAATCGGACGCTCCGTTCTCTTAAAAACTGAGTTACCGTTTTCGGCACTTTTTGCCCCGTATCTCAGGAACGGCTAGACCTGCCTTCGCCAAAAACTAATCAGCACGTCTCCTTATCAATACGAATCGAATGTTTTTTGAATTATTCAAATCGGTTGATCCGTGTTCCCGAAATCGTCGACGAAAATTTGTATCCGCACATACATACACACACGCACACACACACACACACACACACACACACACACATACATCCATTTTTTCTAAGGTATGCCAAAATGTTCAGAAACCACTGAAACGTAAAGATATATAAAAATTTTCATTTTCGATTTTTTTGCGATTACTATAACTTACCCTACGGGAAGTTAAAAATTCATATATATATATATATATATATATATATATATATATATATATATATTCCAAGTGCTTAAACATGATAGTACATTACAAAAAAGTTACATTTATTTATTTATCTTACTAATCTCTATATACTATATAAATATATATTAACTCTAAAATATTATCTAAAACATACGGCCATTTCATAAAACAGCAACTCACCTGCAAAAGATATAGTTTTTACAAATGGTTTAGGTTTATCAATTTTAGCTTTTGGTGTCAACAATGGCTGTGATGCAGACTTTCTAAGTTCTCGACGAATACCTGTTCAAAAATTGATTAGATATAAGAAAATATGTAAATAGATAGATATATACACACATACATATCATATATATGCTAGAAATATACTGCCTATATATTAGTATATATTTTTATACTAACCACTTGTGATTGTTTTTTTCTGAGGAATTCTTGTAGGTTCTTTTTTCTGGATTGAAGTTTCATTCTCTCTATCTGTAGGAAATTTTATATAATTATTTGTTTACATATATATTTATAATTATTACAAAAAGAATTACAAACCGGTAACTTCTGGAGGCTTGATAACACAAGGTTTGACATAAGAAATATTTTTTTCTGATACCTTCTCATTTGAATCTGATAGACCCAAGATAGAATTAGCTCTCATTCTAGGAGTGCAACCTATAATTAGAAAAAAAAAACTTGTTATATTATGTATCACCATATTCATATTTGAATTCAAAATTTTATTTGAATTTCATGCAACTTACCGATAGTTTTGTCCTTTGCAGTATAAGGAGGTGTGGAAAATTCATTTACAGAATTTTCCAAACTATCAGTAGAAGTACCTGAAAATTAGATTAATTTGTCAATTAACTAGTAATAAACATTCATTTAGTTCATTGACAAATAAGTAAAATTAAACACTTCAAAAATAATAGAAATAAAAATTATACTAGTTTTTAACATTATTGTATCATATAATTAACACCCATTATAAAAATATTGGTTCAAGATAATACAATTTAGAACTCTAAATATCTAACGTTATTAACCAACCTTTAAACTTAAATAATGTACAAAGTTATACTTACTTGAAATATCATTAAGATTAGATTTTGGTATAATTTCGACACTGCCAAAAGCAACTTTCGAGCTACAACTTTGCAACTTGGAATTTGTTGCCAGATTTTTCTTGACGACATGCTTTTGAAGATTAAATTTTGGCAAGGGAATCGAACTAAAATAAAATCATATGTCAAAAAGAAACTAACTCACAGATATGTACCATGGTACATTAGTTGCAACTAATTCAAATATAATAAAAAACCTACCTGTAGGCAATCTGTTTATTTGCGGACTGTTTTTTTGGGATGTTAGTTAAATTAGATTTCAAAACAGAAGTCTTGTTTCTTCCACCATTATTATCTTTCACTTTTAGAGCAGTCTTCTCCTCATTAAATGTTTTACCATCACTATTTGTGTCTGAAATGTTACTTTCCACACTTGGAGCTTTAATATGATCTTTTATAGAACATTCATCTTGACAAGTTTCTTTAGTAGGTTCATCACTTAATATATCATTTTCTTTATCAAAGGTGGTATTTTTTTTCTCAGCTTTTATTATAACTTCAGTGTTTTCATCAACGATGCTATCACAGAAAGTAAATGCAATATCTTTGATGCATGTTGATGATGCAATAGGAGTCTGCAAAATAGTTTCATTTGCACACTGTTCAATTTTAACTGGCGATAAAGAATATGTCCTATTCTTCAAGTCTGTAAAAATTAAACCTTTTATATACATGTTCGTGCAATTATGTTTGTTGCACATATAATAATTATACTGTAATCCATGATTATTTTAAATATTAATTCAAATTGTGAAATGCTAAATAAATAAAATATATCTATTGCTATCAGTTAAGCTCAAGAAATGTATAATAGTTACTTTTAGCATTGGTTTTTGCCTTTTTAGGCTTCCTTTTTATGACTTTCGACGTTGCTGCAATAGTTCTTCCTCTGAGTTTCTTTTGTACAACTGGTGAAATCCTTTGCTCTTCGTGAAAGCTTGATGTCGATCCCGAGTTGGACAGCGTTTCTTTACTAGCTTTTTCTACAATCAATAATTAACAAAATATTAAGCATAAAGTAAAAATACTAATTGTATCGTTAAAACACTAACCTTTGCGTAGTTTGGCCATTGCAAATATTAGCTTATACAACTGGTATAGAACTTCAACACGATAAAACTGATTAAAATGTAATAAAACAAAAGAATGCTTCATTCAGTATGAACTAAGATTTGACATAAACTGTCTCTTGCAACGGTTTATTAGTTTGATTAGTGTTGCCATGATCATAATATTAGTACCCGAGAAATGATCACAGATAAGGCGGTAAATACAAAAATGAAAATGTTAAAATGTTATTTTTATGGACAATTTTTATTTGTTAACTTCCGTTAGGGTCAATTATAGTAATCGTCCAAAAAATTAAAATGGAAATAATTTTTTTTGCATATTTTTACATTTCAGAGTTTCTGAATATTTTGGCATACCTTAAAAAAAAGGATGTGTGTGTTTGGGGGGTATGTATTTTGGCCGTATGTAACAACTGATTTGAATGATTCCCGAAGCAATCGATTCGATAAACGTCATCGTCAAACTTATTAGCTCTTATATTTCGTCTATAAAATACGAATAATGAAAATTAGAGATATATCATTACCAGCAATTTGCCTTAAGATACGATGCCATCATACTCTTCTTTTATCTATGGATGCCATATACCACTAGTTCATACTGAATCCGTTTTATCGGTTCAAATTCAAAAATTCGTAAATTTTTCTGGTCGGATGAGGAAAACAATACCGTAATGCCCATAATGCCGTCCATAGATAAAAGAAGATGCCGTCTTATAATAGTCTTATTTGAGTTATATGGCAACACTATTGCTTGATACCAGATCAAGTTGACCACCCTGCAAATTGTGCAATGAAATTAATTGAACTTCGATTGACCTGACAGCATCTTGGGAGTGACAGATCACCGCTCAGTTTTAGGTTGGTTAATTTAGTGTAGCTGTTTAACCTATCACAATGTCTGTTAACGAGGTAAGAATATTATTATTAATATATGTATATTTGTGGTAAGATATAATATTTATTCACGTATAATCCTTAATAAAAAATACGATCTAGATTTTAAAGTATGTACTCAATCTTTGTACCGACTGTATTCATATCAATTAGTATTGGGTAATTTACAATAGAAATATCAATTACATCATTTTTTGTTGTAGGATTTTGACAAAGCTGTAGAAGATGTAAAGAAACTAAAAACACAGCCTGGAAATGATGACTTGCTAGAAATATATGCGTTATTTAAACAAGCTAGTGTGGGGGATTGTAACACTGGTAAATTTTTTTTCATACATATTTAATACGTAATTAACAGTACAATATAGAACAATGAATTTTTCAGACAAACCTGGCATGCTGGATTTTAAAGGCAAGGCAAAGTGGGAAGCATGGAAAAACAAATCAGGCATGGATTCCAATGCAGCTAAAGAAGCCTATGTTAAGAAAGTTCAATCACTCATTGAATCTATTGGACTCAATTAATTGAATTGTTATCGTTTTTATATATTAATATATTGTTACTGTTATTAAATATATGGTTTTGCATTTGCAATGCATTTACTGAAGCTATATACTGTACTACTACTCAATTTTGTAAACATGATGCAATAAATAAAACTTTAAGTAAAAATATATATTAAGTAAAAAACTGACTTTTGTTGTTAGTAATATGCTTATACTACTACTTGAGATTATTTTATATTTTATGCAATAAAATTATATAACAATAAATTATAAATAAATATATAAGAATATGGACTATTCTGATCAAAGCTAATTGAATGCGAATAATGCTACTGAAAAGCGAAATTTTTATATCGAAATATTAATAAATACACCGCATGAAAGTGCACCGATTATATATATATCTATATATATATATATATATATTCTTGAATATGTTGATATATAATTTAGTTTAAATATATATTTTTATTGATGTTACGCCCGATATTATCAAATATATTATATATATATATATATATATAAATTTATAAATTTATAATTTTTATGAACGTCATTCGTATAGGTGCTAAAAAGATTATATTAATGATATCATTGTTAATATATATTGCCTAAGAGGCTAATTATCAATTGTGACTGCTTTAAAAACTTTTTTTTTAAATATTTTGATTTTTGTTTTTGGTATCTCTGCAACTTCATGTTTGTTTAAAATAACCTGCTGTCAGATTAGGCATTGACTTGACAGAAAGAAAATAAACAGATAATTAAATAAATACTAGACAATGTAATAATTAATCCGTAGTTAATCTATTCTGATAGTTTTTCAAAAAAAAAGTAAAAATGACTAGACACGCTAGAAATTGCACTGCAGGTGCCGTATATACTTATCACGAAAAGAAAAAAGACGCCGAGGCCTCTGGATATGGGACAAATAGTAAAAGAATTGGGAAAGATTCACTTAAAAATTTTGACTGTTGCTCATTGTCCCTTCAGCCCTGTAAAATACCCGTAATAACGTAAGTATAAGTGTATTTTTAAACAATATTTAACTTAAATTGAAATACTAAAAAAAACACATATGTTCCAGAAAAGAAGGTTATCTTTTTGATAAAGAAGCTATTCTTCAGTACATAATCACCAAGAAGAATGAAATAAGCAGAAAATTAAAAGAATATGAAAAACAGAAAAAATCTGAAGAAGTAAGTAATAGTCTGGATCATAAGCGACTTGTTGAAACATAAATATAAAGGATATTTACTAAAAATGAACAGTAGTATTAGTATTCACAATATAACCCAATTATTATCATTATGCTTAATTCCTATGTAGTTCTTTTAAGAAAATGCTAAGATACGATTAAAAAACATATATTTGTATGTAAAGTGAAAAAAATTAATATCAATTAGAAACTATTGTTTTAGATAGATAAAGATAGATACGATAATATTTAAGATATGATTAAAAAACATATATTTATATGTAAAGTGAAAAAAATTAATATCAATTAGAAACTAATATTTTACTTTTAGGCAGAATTGGCCGAAATAGCTGCAGCAGAGCGCCAAAGTAATCTCAACAAATTTATGAAATTAGAAAAAAATATTGTGAGCTCGACTTCAAAAGGTAATTGTTTGAATCACTTGCAGCATCATTAGTTGAAATAACAAGATGATTTATTTTGCAGATGATTCAAGTACCAGTTCCATTTCAAATATGGTTAATGGAAAAAACAAAAAATTGCCAAGTTTTTGGGTACCCTCCGAAACTCCAAGCTCAAAGAAAATTAAAATTAGCAAACCTGTAATAACATGCCTGTTATATTTATGAAATTACACAAAAACATGTAATAAGTCTCTTTTCATTATTTCAGGACACAACTGTAACTTGTCCTTTATCTGGGAAACCATTACGAATGAAAGACCTTATAGATGTCAAATGGACAGAAGTTAAAGATCCTGACGAGGCCTCAACCCATTTAATAACAAGAAAGGCTCGTTATAAATGTGCTGTAACACATGATATACTGAGTGATGCAGTTCCTTGTGCTGTTATAAGAACAACGTTCGTGATTCCAAATTTATGATAATAACTATCTATTCATTTATACTTTTTATTTTTATTATATTTTCAGAGGCGATGTCGTCACTATGGAATGTGTTGAGAAAATTATTAAGAAAGATTGGATTCATCCTTTAACAAATGAAAAACTCACTGAGAAAGATATTATTCCTATGCAAAGAGTATGTATAAATATAAAATATTTATTTCAATCTAATATTTATTAATATTGCTTGTTTTCTCTCAAGGGTGGAACTGGCTATGCAACCACAAATGATAACCTAACAGGAGAATACAAACAACCAGTTCTTCAGGCGTAAAAGTATTCAAAGAATTTTTTCTAAATGTGACTTTCCTTTACATGACAATTTGGTGAATGCTGTAATCATAAGTATGAAGAATATAAAATGTTTTTAATGGATATTTATATTTTGCTTAAATTGGTTTTGATGATGGAAGAATATAAAGTAAGTAAAATCTTTAAAGGTCGCTTTATTTTTAATTTTAAGAAATCGATTTGATTTTAAAGTCACAGCGATGAACAATTGATGGTAAGCTATCCTTATCAAAATTTGGTCTATAAAATGTGACC